AAAAAATTGAAATTGTTTTTTTTTTTGTAATTCATGGGAAAATGGTAAGGCTTTATAGATCAGTATGATAAGAACACTTTAGGACAATTATGAGCAATTTGGCCAAAAAATGAGAATTAAATTGAAGAATTTCAATTTCGGGTTGGTTTTGATTTTTTTTATTTGGGTATAGAGCCAAACAAAATCTATAGGGATCTATTAGAGGGCTCCAATACCAAGATTTTGAATCAAATTTAAAGGTGATTTGGTTGAGAAATGAGAGAAAGGGGGATTGGGATTCAGCCCTAAAAAATGGGGTGATTTTTAAAAAAGTTCTTGCCTAAATATATTATTAAATCACAAAATAATTTTTTAGGCTAAGATGTATTGATTAAGATCCAGATTAATGCTTGGATGTGGATTATGGTTGTAGAAAGCCAAACAATAAAAACACCTCAATTTTCCTCTTTTTCAAGTGAAAATATGAAGAAAAGTTACACAAACCCGACGCACCCGAGTCTGGCCAAGACCTAGCATGGTAGCCCTGGTTCGAGTCGCCTCGACGATTTCCAAGACCGCTTGACGATTTTTAAATCCATGGGTAACAAAAACTTTATAGGAACTCAAACATAGATCCCACTTATTCCGAAACACACTATTGAATGTCATGAAACAATATTGTACTTTTGTTATTGGAGTGAAACGCATTATTGAATGTCATGAAACGATATTGTACTTTTGTTATTGGAGTGAAACACATTATTGAATGTCATGAAACGATATTGTACTTTTGTTATTGGAGTGATGATATATGGGAAGCCCTTAAATTTAGAAGAAGTTTGTATAAAGCCGAAGAATTGAACAATCAAATTAGAGCTGACCTCAAAAAATTCATTAGAAATGGTTGTTTTGATGTCTAAATATTTTCAAATTGATCATCTCAACATCAAGATGCATACACATGAGAAAACAAAATAGATTTCAAGTTTTGGAAATAAAACATCTTGTAACACATTTTTGGACTGTCAATTTTCAAGATTTTCAAATTTCCATAGATATGCTCAATATACACTATTTTTGAAACTTTAAATTTTATAATTAAAAATAAAAATATATTTTAAGGCTATTACAAAGATTTTCACCATTGAAATCACTTTTTTCAATACTACTTGAAAATACATTTTACTTTAATTATTTAGAGCCTATGCTCTATACAAACCACACCCATTTATAAAACCATAGGTTATGGGTCTTCCTAGCGTGCAGCCCAAACCAATATGATGACGCCAATGTGATGGGATGTAGGTCACCAACAAAATGAGGTGGGGTGCACATGGCTAGGTTAGATAAAGGAAAAACACACGAAAAAGTATTTGGTGGGTCAGCCGACTCACCTGTAGATATGTGGACCCCTTCCAAATTCATCTGTAAGATGGATTTTATATCTAAAATTTTGATTTGTTAATCTCAATTATTATTGTGATTATGAATTTAGATTATTTAATTTATAAAAATTAAAAGTCATATTCTTTTAATATGTTTTTCACCATCTAGTTTGAAATATATTGGAAGCACTATTTTTTTATGTCTATTTCTAAAATGGACTGGCTGACTTCAATTAATTGAGAAAAAGTTAAGATGATGTCTAAAATGGACGTGTGATGCATGAGGAGATACACATGCTTCTATGAATCACCTGACTCACCAAGTCCAAAACAAAAGGGTTGGTGACCTACAATTTCTGACACAAATTTGAATATTTAACCTCATACATCTTTATAACAATTATTGGTCTTGCACTTGACTTGTGTTTAAAAAAGGAAGTATGAAAGTTGGAACTTGGAACCCGCCCATGTGAAATTTCTAGGGGCCAAGGTCATTGTGGTTGACTCTACTTGTCCAAGGAACGGACATTGTTCATAAAGAACGACTAAGGGAAATAGCACACACATCCCTTGTTTTACAATAGGAATAAAAACACTTAAGGCTAGTTTGGATGTATCCTAGCATAAATTTTTATTACCATCCAAAAATCTAGCGACAAGCTATTTGCACGGTTTTTGGATGGCCAGACTAAAAACTTTGAGAGAATGGGGTTGAGGTCGTGGTGGTTGCACCATTTATGCCTCAACTAAGGTTTAGGCTTTCATTTTCACCAAACGTATTTAAAAGCCACTAACGTATCAAAAACTTAAAGGCTCGTCATCCCCGTTGAATTACCCAAAAAAAAAAAGAGGCTAAGAACTTTGCTATATGAAAAAACCAATCCAAAAAAATTCAAGATAACTTGTTCATATGTGACGTTTAACTTCTCTCAAACCACGCTCTAACCCAATACCCATTATGCTCTGTCTCTCTCTCCTGTCCACCTAACAGATTGGATCCTCTCTCCCTCTAATAAGCTCATGGGGTTTAAGACGAAGAGGAGAAATATCTAATGGCTACTAAGCTCATGGGGTTTAAGAGGAGTCTATGAAGTCCTGTCCACCTAACAGACTGGATCCTCTCTCCCTCTTCATTCTTATGGCAACTAAGCTCATGGGGTTTAAGAGGAAGAGGTGGGTTTTGTGCTTTATCATCTTTGCGGATTTCTTTCCGCCACACCCATCGTGAAGCAAATGACTATGCTGATGGTCTTGCCAAGTCTGGTGTCTCTCTTCCTGTTTCTGACGAGCTGATTACATTATTACACTATGCTCTTGCAACAGTTATTAATAAAAGCCCATAATATTTTTTTTTAAAAAAAAAAAAGAGGTAGGAGGGGTTGAGGTGAGAGATAGATGTGCAGAACAAGACGAGACTCAAAAAGGATTTCATAGACAATGAATATGAGGAAACAAAAATCTAACCCCTCTCTCTCCATGAAATACAACCCTCTCCATAAACCATCATTGATGTCAATTTCAGGATTCAAGGTTGGAGGCTAACGAGGAGATCCCCTGTTTGCAGCATCAGTTATGGCTTTTAGGCCTTAAATGTCCTCCAATAGTGATTTTTGCCCTTCACATTTGAGCCCTGTTGCTTCACCGAAGCTAAGAGCTACTGACTCATGATTGATGTTTTTGGTACATATCCTATTGTTCTACTACTAAATGTTTGTGGTAATTAGCGTGTGTCCACTATTTTTTTTAAGGGCGTGATTTCTACAATGTTGCAACTTTAAACAATCAAATTAAGACACACCTCCAAATTTTGTCATAAATGTAATTTTGGTATCAAAAATTTCTAAGATGGCTTGAGAATCTATTTTAATATCCAATTATAAAATCTTAAACTTCAACAATGGTTCAAATCAACTAGATCAATAAACAATATAAAATCTAAAAAGTGGATGGTCCAAATAATATGTTGCGATATACACTATTTTTCAAGCTCAAAATGTTTTTTTCTTTTCATATTCATATATCTCAATGTCCCAATGATCAATTAGAGGGCTTCCTAGCATTGAAACAACCTTTTATGATGGATTTTTGAAGTACATCTTAATTCTAGATTTTAAGGTTGCAACCTCATATAAACTTTAACTTTATCCTATTTTTAGTGAATTCTAGTATGGAAAGGGAAGAGGTGGCTTGTCTCCGCCCAATAGAAAATGGGGATACTATATTTTGCTAGAAATAGACTCCAAAATTTCTTCATTCTATAACTAGAATAACTTGTTAAAGTTTTTTGAACGTCGTAACTTTTGGAGTTTCGAGATGGACATTATGCCGGTAGCATGAACACTTTGCCATTTCCAACTTCAAGCAAGCATTTATTAACGGGATGCGGTTAACATGCTGTCAAGCATAGTGTAGAAATACAGGCTTGGCAATTAATATATTTTTAGATATAAATTAATCTTAATTTTTAGAGAATATATAATCTTTAACATGGAGAACATGAATATGAAAAAGAAATTTTAAAAATTAAAAATAATAATTATATTAAAAAGACACATGGACTATTAGTTACAAATGTTTTTAGATGGACCAGGTATAAAGCATCCATCTTTAAGACGTATGCCTTATACCTCTGGACCGTATATTGTAGAAATGCGGTCCCACCCGCATGAAACAATTGTTCTTATTAATTTATGCCATCAAAGGGCCACTTGCAGAACAACTCATGCAGCATTAGTTCTTTTTGGCTTAGAAAGGACAGTATTAACGGTTGCATTGTGTTGGCCCATGAAAGGGTAAATAAGCACCTTCCGATAATCCAAATTAAATTTGGGCCGATCCAAGGGCAAAATTAATTTAATTTTTATTTACAAAATCAATTCATATGAAAATTAAAGGGTACATGCATATTTTAGGGTGCACCATAAAAATAAATAAAAGATAACAAATAAATGCACCCCTAAAACATAAACATAAAGCAAAGATAACAAGGAAAAGAACACCCCTAAAACATGTCGAGACGTCTTGGTCAATTATTTACTTATTATTCTTTATTTATTTATTTATTTTTATTGAGTTCACATGGATGCCCCTCTTTCATGCAAAATAACACGTAAAATAAATATAAAAGGATAAAAAACAAAAAAAAATTGTGGCCATCAAATGATCCTAGATTCAATCTGTCCATGTGGTTGCTATAGCATCTCTATTAAAAAAAACGCCCCATGTCAAATTCTAAGCATGCCTTGAAATGATTGAAGGGTATGTGATTATGAACTATAAGACCACTTATTTTTGGTAAAAGTCACTATCACACATTTGAAATCTACCAGCTTAAGATGCATCGCAAAGTTCATAAAAATATATTTGGATTTTAAGCCCAGTCAAAAACACATACCATGAAATCTACCTGATTACGGTGCATCACAAAGTTTTCAAAAATATTTTTGGATTTTAAGCCCCATTTCACAACCAATGGCCAAGAGCCCAAGAGCCATTTTTACCTGCTTAAGTGCTGATGTCTAAAGATATGGGTGTTATTGGGTACTTTTCCACTTTTGCCCCTCTCTCCCCCCACAAAAACACTAAACTAATCGGGTAATCAGTAACAGGAATTAAATGAAAAAAGAGGGATGCAACTTAAAAAGTCGCGAATTTTGGATGGAAATTCTGCAGCTACACATTAAGGGCCTAAAAAATATTTGTTTTGTTCCAACATTTTGACAATGGAGATGACAGTTCAGTACACGATAATATAGAGAAGCTATGTGTGCGGTTAGCTCCAGAAGCATCGGAAACTGCTCAAAACTCTTGTTTTCATTTAGAAGGCTCTGTATTACTGATTCCTCTTTCTATCTTCGAACTATTAGAGAATGCACAATAATATAGGTGAAAATCATGGCCCAAAAGAGAGAAGAAATGAAAGAGAAATAACTCCTTTGCGAGGTTTAAGTCTTTACCAGTGAAGGCGCTGAACCATACTTTGAGAATTTACATCCTTTGGGAGACCAGGTCGTACTTTGTCTCCCACACACATGAATGCTTCCAAGTAGTTGGCCCTTTCCAGTACAGTCACTTGTCCATCCATCGATAGGGAGGACGCCACTGTTTTTGTTTGGTTTTCTTCAGAGACAGATACATGATCAGAAACAGAAATATAGACATTGTTTTGCTTCGTTTTTTCAAAGACACACAGGATAAAGAAATAGAGAGATGAAGACGAGTTTGTGAAGCCTTAAATAATCTAATTTAGCAGAGACAGCACCTGCTGTATTCTCTTCATCTGAAAGGCCATATGAATGTGTGCGAGGGTCAGAGCGAGAGAGAGAGAGAGAGAGAGAGAGAGAGGAACCCACCTGCTGTGCTCCTAACAGATTGTATCATGTCCACTTGCTGTTGTGGCAAGATGTCTGCCCTGTATATATCCTTCATAAAATTTGCAACATGGACAATATCACTAAAATCATCTGTTTATTGGCAACATTATTAAAAGCAATGGTATTTTAAGAGTTCGAAGGTCATAAATTATGGAGGCAATTCTCCATACGACCCATCAAATATGTGGTCATAAGGGTCATCACCATCCAATCCCTGGGTTGGATTGTGACAGAGAGAAAATGGGACATAGTTGGTATATCAGATAATGTCATGTTCGGCTGAACCCAACCCATCAATGTCACACATTGCACGGTGATGATCCTGAGGATCCCATATTTGATGTAGTTGGTATATAGATAAACAGCACACTTCCCTCCCATATAAATTTTTATGGCTTTCTGTGAATCTACCTCTGCAGGCGAGGACAACTGATAAGGCCTGACAAGGCCCTGTGATGAATCCAGCCCAAATGAAGACGTCTCTGCACATCCACCAGAGTTGGGTATAACATTTGGTATGTTGGGCATTACTAAAGATTGAAGTGAAGAGGAGGGGGGGCTTATATTAGGTAGATCAAAGGAGGGTTGTGATGAGGAGTCCTGTTGGTTCACGGGCAACAATCCCATCCCCATGGTAATGGGCAATGTGCCATTCTCTGTAGTAAAGCCCATGCATATTTGAGGTAGCTGCATAGATTGCAGCTGGCCAGGCATACACATGGGGGCTAAATTGATCCCACTTTTCATTGATAGCATCTGTAAGGATCAAGCAAGCAGGTAAGAAAATGGAGTTATCATTGATTAGTTCATAAAACATGATGCTAGAACAGTGTACTAATTCAGGGGAATAGAGATGAACTTCCAAGTGATTGAGGAACAAATAAATGCCGACATATGCCAACGATTAAACAGATTATTAATTTACCAGCAGAATGCCCAGTGATACATGTTAACCAGGAGTTTGAATTGTTTATGTCCAGTGGCACTATTCCCATACAAAAGTTATACAGGGAGTGTCATGGTATATATGAGTATGCATACAGGAGACACATTTTAATACAAGAAATGGGTAAGGACTTTTCTCAACATGGGAACAAAAATGCCTCATCCTATCTTCCCATCAAGATTAATACTGCTGCTTTGGTTCCCCGTTGCAAAGAAGATATCGACAAAGGGCCATTAACAGGCTGGGTTCCGATCAGGCCAGCACTGGCCCGAATCTGAACCCAGCCCAAAACAGGGTATGGTAGGCTCAGGCCCAAGGTCCAGGCCCGAATTCATGATAACTAGGCCAGAGCCTAGCACGGGCCTGAAAAAATAAGACCAGGCCTACATGAACAT